CTGTATAGTTAAAGCTAACTTAAAGAGAAAGGAAGGAATTTAATATAAGGATACAGGGGTGGGCATACAGCTGGGCCTTAGGAAAGAACTCGAAAGCTATCAGGGCCTAGGAATCTTCCTTCTGCTGATATGCTTCATTCTTCTTTCTCTGAAATTTTCCTTTCTTTGCTTCTTAGTCTACCTATTGAAAAGAAAGAGGTTTCCCTTTTTTTTTTCTTCATTCGAGGAACTAGGCTAATTTAAAGTTCCCAGAGAAGAAAATCTGATTGGCCCAGCTCATGTCAGTTCCCATCCCCAAATCAATCAATTATGCTCAGGAGGGTGGGGGTGGGAGTCACACACCAGAAACATGGTATAGACAGAGAAGAAAGATCCAGTAAACAAAACCCTAACCTTTGTCAGTTAATCTCCTAAAAGTATAAAAGGTCTCTAGGATTATCCAAAAGGTCATTTATTATAAGACCTTCATTTTGCAGATAAAGAAATGAAAGCTTGAAAAGGTTAAAGACTGACTCAAGATGTCATACATATACACAGAGACCAGATTATGACTCAGCTAGAACTAGTGTTCAAGTCCCAGAATTTCCCATTCCAGTTTTTTCAACAACACCATGTTTGCTCTAGGCCTAAGATTTCATGGATTCTTATATCTTGTCCAGTAATAATCTCAATAATTTAACCCCCAAATTCCAATAACTTAGTAGATGCTTAATTTATTCAGCATCTACTATATACTAAGTGCCTTTTTTTAAAAACTATAGGATCTCATGTGAGCCTCACAATCACTTTCTGAACTAGGTGCCATCATCCCATCATCCCATTTGGCCTGGGATGGGTTCTGTCTTAGGGCTTAGTCCAAGAAACAGATACTACTCCAGGTATTTAGTTTTGGGCAATTATAAGGCAAAACGGGATTTAGAACAAGGAATTGAGGGGCTTACAAAATCATTTGAAAGGCTGGAGGGGAGGAAGCCACTGGAATTTTGGTCTCAAGGTCATTCCACCACAGCTGAGATCTGGAGGTTTGCTGACCTGACATTCTGTCACTGTTTTCTGCCAGGCTGTCACTCTTGTCACTACCACCAACCCACCCTACAGTGGAGCAGGGAGTTTGGCACCTGCCAGGACTCCCATTTGCCAGAGACCACTTATTGACCTGAAACTCTTTGGAAAGATGGCAAAGTGGAATTGCCTTCTTCCCACTTTTCAGATCTCTCATGAACACACCTAAGTGGTGGAAGCAATTCACAGCCAGAAGCCTAGCTGCAAGGAGGCCTGGGAAATATATTCTCAGCTTCTCAACTTCTCCACGTAGGAAATAAAGTAGAGTTTGAGAGAGCCAATTAAAGTATCCATTCCACCCAAATCTGCATGTTTTTGACGATCTCTTTTTTTAAAAAACGAAATGTAATTTTCATATAAAAATGCACAAATTTTAAGTGTACAGTTTGATGTTATGACAAATTCATGCACTCATTTAACCTACACCTGAATCAAGATATAAAACATTTCCATAATGCCAGGAAGTTCCCTCACGCCTCTTTATAGTCAGTCCTTTCCACCTCCCACTCAGAGGTGATCTGGTCCATTTCATAAGTTTGTTTTGCCTGATAATCACAAATCAGTCTTGCCTATTCTAGGACTTAAAATAAATAGAACCATACATTATGTATTCTTCTGTTTCAGGCTTCTTTTGCTCAAAATAATATCTGAGAGATTCAACCATGTTAAGTGAATCAATAGTTTCATCCTTTTTCAGTGCTGAGAAATATTCCATTGCATGACTATATCATATCCTTTTACCAGTTAATGGATGTTGATATTGTTTTCAGTTGGGGCTATTATAAAAGTAGCTGCTTAAGTCTATTTTTTAAACAAACACTCCTGGTAATTCTGATACAAGTGGACCACATTTTGAGCAGCATTGCTGTAATGCAGAAAACTGAAGTTTAGAAAGGTTAAATAAATTGTCCAAAGCCACACAGCCAAGAATGCTTTGATGCCAGAAAGGGATCCAAGAACCCACACTCCTCCTTCATGCAGAGTAGACCTAAGCACAACAGCTTGGGGAGTCGGCAGAAGACCTTCAGGACTAACACAGAGCTCTTTTATGACAGAGTCAGGGGAGGGCCTTGAAAATAAGGTATGTGTTTCAGTTTCCAATTGCTTCATAGCTAAACAACCCAGACTTTGGCTTAAACAACAATTAATTCTTATGATTCTGTGTCAGGGCAGAGTGGTTCTTCTGTGGGTCTTACCTAGGCCCTCTCATGTGGCTGCATATAGCTGACAGGGCCACTGGAAGCTGGACTCAGCTGAGGTGGCTGGGACAAGTAGGCTTATTTCTCTATGATCTTTCATCCTCAAGGAGACCGAGCCAGGCTTCTTCACATACAAGTGACAGTATTTCAACAGAAAAAGCTGCAATTCACATGCACTTATCAAGCTTCTGCCTGATGTCCACTGGCCAAAAATAGGTCACAGGGCCAATCAAGCTCATATTCAATGTGGGAAGGGGCTATCCCCAGGGAGTGGTCTGAGTCATTGCATGTGTGATTCATTTGGGGCAATTAATGTAACAATTTATGTTTAGGAGGCAATGGGGAGCTAGACAGAGCAGAACTAAAGAGAGCCGGGCGTTAATAGAGGATTAAAGAAAATTTCAAAAAAGCCAGAAAAGGTCAAAAGAAATATCCTCTGAAGAAAAGGCCCATGCTCCTCCTAGTCATCTTGGTGGCCCCCACAGCACTCAAGGCAGAGTTTTACAAACAGGAGTATTTTCTAAACTTAATCGATGTTATCAGTGATAACGTTGGGATGTTAGGACCTGTAGAAAGGATGGCTAAATGATTATCCACTAAAAGAAGCCAGACTTCTTAAGATCAGAAGGACGAGTACTAACAGGAGAAACAAAACTGAAATGAAGACAGACATCATAGAGAACATGAACACATGCTTTTTCCTTACACGTACTATATGTCAACTCTTTCAACAGTGTTTATTATTTGCTAGACACTATGCAAAAAACTGGAGTTGTGTTTCTTAAACTGTGGGTCACCAGAACATGTGGAATAATACCCAGGATGATGGTTAGAAATGGCTGAGAAAGGTATCTAAGTGGATGGATCTGAGACGATTTTCCTGATCTCATGTTCTTCCTATAACCTGTAGAGGAATCCAAAAGTCAATGCCTGCTCCAATGGGGGATAGCAGATATCTATGCCCTAACTACTTCGGTGCAGGACAGAATATCCATCTGCCAGCACCTTTACGTTCTGCCTGAAGACTTTCTGTGGCCACTCCTGCTGTAGAGAGAGCTGTCCTCAACCAAAAACTGACAGGTGTTGGTGCAGAACATTAAAACTAAACCAATTATTCATTATCAACCTAGAGGCAAAGAGTGCCCATTATTCCACTAATCAAAATACAAGTTCTGACAAAAATAGAAAAGTTCTGACAAAAACAGAAAAGACTACAGTCTTATTAATACCCTTCTACTCAAAAATGTTCAGTGAAGAGTAAGGACCATTTCTGCAACTGCCTTCTTCTTGGTTTTCTGACTCCAATCTTGTTTCCCTTCAACCCACTTTCTGCACTTCTGAGTGACCTTTGAAAAGCAAATATGATCTATTAAGCTTTCTGAGAACCGAGATGATGTCTCTTAGTCTCCACTGTATCTTCAGCACCTAGTGAGGCCTACACATAGTAGGCACCCAGTATTTATTGACTGGATATTAATGGAAACCCCCAGTTCATGAACAGGTTATACACTAAAAGATTTCTCTTGTTAGGCGGTCCTTTGGCATTTGCAATACATCTGGCTATCACGATGATAGGTGATTTTAGCTTGTCACATTAACTTGTAAAAAACTAAGTTCACCCATGATGTAGCCTAACCTTAGTCCCAACTTTCCTGGTTTCCTTGAGCAGGAACACATAAGATGAAGGAGGGACAAGGAAGAAATAGAAGAATAGGCCTTAGGAGCCATTTGAAATTAGCTGATTTGTCATTAATATCCTCCTTTTTCACACTTCCTCTTTTGCATTTCTCTGTCACTGTATGAGTGTCCTCTTTACACCTGTTCCCCACCGTGCCTTTCCCCAACTACAGCAATCACACCACCAATCACAATCCTCTTTCCTGAGTGCAAGTAATTTTAAGTATTAAGAGGAAAGTGGACTGATTGAGCAAAATCATATCCCAGATGGATGTTTAATAGCTCTTTAACCTTCCTAGAGATAGTTCCAATTTTATAAAACCAGCTTACATTAAATGAATCTTTAATTAGTGGCATTCATTGTAATAAGATAAATGAAAATATTACACATATGCAGTGAAAGATATTTCGGAGCAGATATTCTCATCAACACTTCAGCCTTTTGTTTCAGATTCTCCCCTGAGGGCTGGTCATCTGGATTATTACAGATTTTTGTAATTTAAGGTTCTTTAAAGATCCCTCCTAGACTCTTTTGTCATACAACTATTCCCATAGGCCTGGTTTACAAGGGGGCATTTGAGTGATCACAGCTGTTGGTGGGAAGGCCTACAGAGTGGACCCTTTTACATTGCTTTTGCTAATTTGCCCCATCCTTGATGGCTTTTCCCCAGCAATGTGCACTTTTTACCTTGCTCTGCCTGTGGGGACACTGGAACCAAGCCCAACATCAAACAGTGGTCAATACTCAAAGAGCAAGAACCAGGACAATTGGAGAGAATTTCTAACTGGACAGTTTGGGGATTTCCATTCTAGCCTTGCGTTCTCTTTAATTCTGTGTTATTCAACTCCATTTATATTCGGCCACCACAAAGAACTCTGTCACTAGGGGATTTCTGCTTCTGAAGCTATAGGAAAGAAATAGGATTAGAAAGGATTAAAGTGATACTTGCTCAAAGTCACACAGCTATTTCAAAGAGAGCGTATCTCCTAGCTCCTAATTAATTCTTCTTCTCCTCCTCCTCCTCCTCTTCCTCCTCCTCCTCCTCTTCTGAAAAAGTTGATGCTTCATATTACTTAAAATGTAAAGTTTATCTCAATAAGCTTAAAGATTAGCTCTTCTCTCTTGAGTCAGCCTCCCACTCCAAACTCCTGGGAGGGAAGAGGGGCTGGAGATCACCAATGGCCAGTGATTTCATCAACTATGCCTACATACCGAAACCTCCATTAAAACCCCTAAACTATGGGATTCAGAGAGCTTCTAGGCTGGTAAACACATCCACATTCTGAGAGAGTGGTATATCTTTAACTCCCTGGGGGCAGAAGCTCCTGTACTTGGGATGCTTTTAGACCTCAATCTATGTACTCTATCTGGCTAGCCAGTTGTATCCTTTATAATATCCTTTATAATAAACCAATAATAGTAAGTGAAGTGCTTTCCTGAGTTCTGTGAGCTGTCGTACCAAATTATCAAACCCGAGATGCATGAGAGGTCTGAAAGTTTGAACGAGTGTCTGCAGTCGGGGCAGACGGAGCCATTAGGCTGTGGGGTCTGATGCTAACTCTGGGTATTTAGTGTCCAAATTGAATTGAATCATTAGACACTCAGTTTGTGTCCAGTTGGGGAATTTGTGTTGGTGTGGAAAAAATCCACACAACTGTACATCTCTCTATGTATTTGCTCTTCTTATATTTCTCAGATTGTTTGGTGGTTCTAAGTGTAGAAGTGTTGCATATTTTTCATTAACTGTATCCCCCTTTACTTGATATTTAATAGTGTAGCTTTTCTTCCTCATTTCCTGGAATTCCCATTCCTTTACTCCATTCCCCTTACTTTTTTTTTCCTCAGTTTTTATACCTACTAATCTATATATAATTTTATAGTTTATTGTTTATGTTTAATTATGATATATTATTATTATGTTTAATGCTTACAGTCTGTCTCTCTTCACAAGAATTTAAGCTCCGTGAGAGCAGGGTTATTTATTGTTCTTAGGTGTACCCCAAGCTTTTAAAACAGTGTCTGGCACAGATTAGGGACTCAACAAATGTAATTCAGGACAGTAAAGGAAGCTAAAAGGGTGTTGAGGTGGGGGCTTCATGAGCCAGTCTTCAGTATGTGCCACGGTAAAGCCTGGCATCTTTCCGATTCTCTCCACTCAGTTTCCAACTCCAGAGAAGTTAGATGACCCTATTTTATTCTCTTATATTCATTGCTTACTATGTTTCAATCAGACTTTCACTTCACCATGCCAATGCATCATGTTCTCAACAAAGTCATCAATGCTTTACCTTTTACTAAACCCGAAGGATATCAAGTTTGACCTCATAGCACCATTTGACACTGCTGATCATGCCCTCCTGGAAATGTTTTCTTCCTTTGGCATTTGGGATACTCTCTTGATTACCTTCCTACCTTTATGATAAAATCTTTTTCAAGTCTCTTTTGCTGGTTTTTCCTCTACTTCCTGACCTTTAAATGTTGGAGTTCCTTTGGCCTTAGTTAATGATCTCTGTTATGGGCTGAATTATGACCCCTCTCAAATTCATATATGGAAGTCCTAACCTCCAGTACATTAGCATGTGACATATTTGGAGATAGGGTCTTTAAAGACAATTCAAAGATTAAAATGAGGTCATTAGGGTGGGTCCTAATCTAATATGGTTGGTAACCTTATGAGAAGAGGACTTTGGACACAGACAGATACAGAGGGAAGACATAGGGAGAAGATGGCCATCTTCTAAGCCAAGGAGAGAGGCTTCAGAAGAAACCAACCCTACTGACACCTGGATCTTGGACTTCTAGCCTCCAGAATTGTGAGAAAACAAATTTCTACTGTTTAAATCACTCAGTCTGTAGTACTTTGTTGTGGCAGCCCTAACAAGCAAATATACCCTCCTTTCTTCTCCCTTTATGCTTGAATGATTTAATTTACTTCAATGTCTTCACTTACCATCCAATGTTGACTCCTCTCAACTTTTCATCTCTAGGCCAAATCTCACTCCTAAGCTCCAAATCCATGCATCCAGCTAACTGCCTACTTGGCATCTTCACTTGAGGTAGACTCCCAACAGCCCAGCTGAGGCTAGAAGTACTGGACAGAGCCTTTACCTGTTGTCCACTGCAGGAGGGGAAGAATTTAGACATTCAGTTCAGCCATGTCAAAAAAGAAATCAGTACTCTTCAAGAGAATATAATAGAATCAAGAGCCTCTACATTGTATTATTTACAGTGTCCACGTAAAGTCCAAAATTTCTAGACAAAAGAAATAGGATAATGTGATTCCATACTCAAAAGAGAACCAATGGAGACCATCTTTTAAATTACTCAGATTTTGGATTTGGCAGATAAAGATTTAAAAACAGCTATTATAAGAACTCATGGAGAGAAAGGAAAATGTGTTAATCATAGAAGAACAAATAGAAAATCTCTGCAGAAATAGAGAGTATGTTTTTATACACTTGAGGGTATATGTATCAGCTTCTTTTAGATTGCAAATATCAGACACCATTGTCAAATTGGTAAACAATGAGACTCAGTGTAGATATCTAATAGTGTTGTAGACATCCAAAACACTGTGTTTAGGGCTTTTGATTCATTTCTCTTCAACTGTCTTGGCTCTTCCATTCTCATATTTTGCCTGTCCTCAGGCTGGTTTCCCTCATGTTCAAGATGGTGCCTGTAGTAACTGTAGCTTCTTTTCACATCCAGCAGATAAGAGACACAAGCTTCTCCTTGGTCTCTCTAAAGGCCAAGAAAGAACTTTCCTAGAAGTCTTCAGCAGCCATCTCCTTGTTGCCTTATTGGCTGAAATTTAATCATATGCTCATTCTTGAATCAATCATTGGTTTGCTTATCCTAATCAGCCCACCTCTGGGGTCACATTTCTTCAATCACTAGTGCTGCATGAGGAAGAGATAGATACCTGAACAAAAATGAGTTTCTGTTAGGAAAGATGAAAGGGAGAATGGATTCTGGCAAGACAACCAACAATATCTACCTTTGTTGTATATTATACTCTGAGAAATTGCCTTGCTTTTTTTTTTTTTAAAGGCACTTAATATTTTGTGACTGAGATTATGTTTGATCCTACATTGACAGTTGAAAGCTCAGGGATAAATTTGTGGACCATTCATAGGAAATGAACAGAATTGTGATAT